CGATGTCTGGCCAAAATAGTGTTCTATTGCTTAATAAAATAAAAAACACCCTCAAAAGCTTTACATGCACTTAGTAATCCTGTGAGTGCATATGAGATCAAGTGCAGCTTTGCTTTAAGAATAACTTCTTACTACTGTTGAATCTAAAGCTTTTGTGGATTTTTGCTGCTCTTTAGGCTTTTCCATTACATTTCTAAACACAGCTGGAGAAAAGTGGAGATGGGTAGAGTTACTTGATTTTATTTAGCTCTGATTTTGAGAAACGTATTTTCTGATGCGAAATTCAAGCAGTATTTAAGAAAAAAAATGGTGAAAGTCGCTATTATTGGACAGTACTGATCTACCCCAAATAAACCTCTAATTTTAATTTTTCTATTAACAGATCCACACCAGCAACAATTGATTCTTTATGACCTTGTCCATGATGCGTCTGATACATTGCCAGATGGCTTGTATCGTCCAGCACGCTAAGCGGGGACAAAACCAATTTTGCCCTCACCCACCAGTTGACATCACTCATTCGTTCCGATAGTCTGTGGTTTAAGGTTCATTTAGTCTTCACAGGAAAATTAAGTACAATGATCATAATTTCTCTCTTCAGCTATGTAGTCCATTTCATACTCAAGCTCTAGAAATGTGTTATAAAGTTATGTTGGCTCAAAGGATATGACATTCAATTTGCAAGTAGGTAATGTTTTTCATAATCATAAATGTAAAGGTATGGGTAATAATTGTGGCAGAATTAAGAGGCTGAGATTTTTGTCTGCTAGTGTTTTCTTTTAAGGAATTGTAATGGCATTTTTTCATTTTGTAATGTGTGTTTCTAGGAGTGAAAGAAGTTGAATTTTTGTGACTGTGCCTTCATTTCTAATCTCTTTGTGAATGAAAAGCTATATACAGGCACAAATCCAGCAGCTTAATTCTCCATCTGATTAGAGCAATGTTACCAACCTGATAGGTTGAAAACAGCCAAGATCCATGCAGTGGCTTAGCCTCCTGGGAGGCAGAGTAATAACAATCAAATGAAGACATATTAAAATGTAATATTACTTCCTCTCCATGGGGACTGTATAAGAATCATAGCCAGGAACTGTTCTTGTCAGCTGACTCTGTTTTGCTCACTGATTCCCTGTCTCTGCATTTATGACTAATACAATTCATACAATAAACAATACTTGTAAAGTTTTAAAAGCAAAGAAATGTAAAACATTATACATTGATTTACGTGAGTTCCAGGATTTTTGTTTTGCTTGGTTTTGTTGTTTTTTTTGTTTTTTTTTTTTTTTTTTAATTTATATATTTTGAAGAAGTGAAGGCAGAGCTGGAATGAAATTCTTTGGTCTGAATAATTTCATTTCCTCTTGTGTAAAGGAGATGGTATGTTAAGGCAGTGTTGTACAAAACTAAAAATGTATACTAGTTTCTCCAAAGTAAGTATGTATCAGCAGACTCTTAACCATAATTTCCTAACAAGTCCATTTTTTTCTGAAAGTTGAAACTCCAAATTTATATTCCTTATGAAATGACAGCTGCTGTTGTATTCAAGGAATGCAGACACACAGTGTCTGTGTGTATGGAGCTCCAACATAATTTTTGACTGACTGTTGTAAATATTGCCTATAAATCAATATGATTTTGTCAGAAAGTCTTAAAATTAATAGAGATTTTAGGGCAATTATATGTGTTTATTTGTAGGTATGGATAAACTGTTGACTGAATAATTTAGTGCACTTTTGACTGTAATTATTAGTTTTGCAAATGACACCAGTGGAACAGGACAGCTCTTAGAAAATCAGAGGTACCTATCCATCAAAAGATTTTTAAATATTTTGATACCTGTTTAGCAACATTGTACTTTCTCATGTGTTGCTGTATTAATACAGAGTGAAGTATGGGATCCTAAGAACATTTAATACTCATGAGAATCTTTATATTAATCATTAATTCTGTTTATTAATGTTAATATTTCAGTAGTATATAGTCTACTTAGCACAGGCTCATGTATGGTAGTTCCTGTGTGAGTAATTGTCTCTAAAATATACCCATACTTAGACCTAAACATAAAAGAAACCCAAACCTGTTCTTTTACATATATATATATATATATATGTATATAAAAATAAAGTAGATGGAAGGTCTAAAATTTGGTCATACAAACACACAGACCGTAGCATTTCTGTTTTAGATACAAGAAAGTTGGGTTATGTTTCTGCATTTATACCTGAAACTCCTATCACAGGCACTTTTTTTTTTTTTTTTTTAAATATTCTGTCAGTGTGAGGAGAGCTCCAGGTACAGGGTCACTTTCCTGCAGAAGTGTGAGTGCAGTGGAGGGGCTTACATGATAGCAGGTATAATTTTCATTTGGAGATCAATATAGAAAGGCAGTGGCAAGTGTTTGAGGAATATTTTGTACTTGCTCCCTTGTTTGTCTTCTGCACACTAAACTGTCAAGGGGCGTTAGCAGTATGAAACTGTTTTCTCTGACGTCCCAGATTACTTCTTTTTCTCTGTGCAGCTTTTCAAAGCTTGAAACGACGTGTTTAAAACTACCCACTTTCTTCCTGGTACACTAGGGATATGTGAGGTTATATTTCGATAGTCTTAATGAATTTTGAAAAATAATTTCCTCTAGTGGCCTTGGGTAATTGTCAGTTTAATTACAGGGAGAAGCTGAGATGGAAACTTTGCTTTGTCACTGAAATGCTCCTCTTTGAAAACTCCCCGGTTCTCGGGGACATAGCAGTCTCTACTCTGAACTATAACGTAGGTTTTTCGAAAACCCCTTGAAGAAGTGTGGAAAAAGTGAATACTTCTGCAAATTCATTCATTCATCTGACATCAAAGCTCTGAGAGCGTTCTTTTAGCAAGCAAGGCAGATTGAGCTCGCGTAGGCACACAACCAGACTCATTGTACATCTGGGCCTTCCCGTTTGGAGACTGTATTTGAAGTAATTTTGCATTCTTTTTTGCCATCTTACGTTCTTACTCTGTACTGAGGTCAGACTGCATCCTCTGCATCTTACTGAGGTCTCCTGCTCTGTGGGTTAAATGGATAGGCCTTTAAAGAATAAAAAGGCATTGTTGTTCAGAAGAAGTAGCACTCTATTCAATTAAAATCAAGTAGAAGGTGTTTAAGAAGATGTGAGCCCACGTTGCCTCGATTAAAAAACAAACAAAGAATAGCAAAAAATGCAAGACAAAGTCAGCATTTATTAGTTGTACTTTCAGTTGATGCTCAGCTTTGGTATTTCTATTTACTGCCTTTTTTTCCTTGTCCTTGTGCTGGTACATTGGCAAATAGGTCATAAAAACCACTTTCAGCAAAGACACATTTGATTTATGTCCAGAACTGGTTCTCAGTATTGATTTTTTTTCCCTCTGGAAAAAAACAAAAGAAAACAAAACTATATGTCTCCATTATTTTCTGAGCCTGGCAGTGCAGTGGCACATTTCAGATCGGCTTTTATCTTAAATTACTCATTGTGCTCTTATATTTTAAAAAGTCTTTTTTGCAAGTTGGAAAAAAAAATAGTAGTTGCACGTATTGCCATTGTCATGTTTTTACAGGGGGAGGGAACGAGAGGAGGAACTGGGAGGGACCACATGTGAAGAGAAGGGAATTTTAGGAAAAGAAAGCGCAATCTGGGAAGCTTGTGTGGTGGCTGTAATTCGAGTTTGTCACAAAAGAGGCAGAAGTGGAACAAAAACAAGAAGTAGATCAAAGGCTAGGAAACAGGGTTCAGCGGTATGGGGTTTATGTCTTTACAGCTAGAGAGAAGATTAGAGCAAGAAAAATACTGCCGTGGGGCTAGGAAGACATTGTGAAGGAAAAAGGAAATACACATAGGCTGCATTTGAAAGAAAATCCTCAAGGAAGGCGAAAGAGAAGGAGCAAGAATTAAAAACAAAGATCTGAACAGTGTGAAGCCCTTGGTTGAATTGGATCCTGAGCTGAAAGGAGAGGGGCAGAAGCAGGGAAGTGCTGCTTAAGCAGCGCACCACAGCCACAACAAGCCGCCAGCTCCGTTACATCCCATTTTCTACTTGTTTTCTGCCGTTGGTGGCCTGGTGCCGGTGCGTCTCCATGCACCCGCTCATGGGCCTTGGATAAACAGCTCCAAGAAACGACGGTGAAATTTTCCCCCCACAACAGGACAGCTGGGGTGGGAAAAACCCCTGGTGCGTCCCCTAAATAGCAGAGCTGGGGTATGCCGTTGGCAGGCGTGGCAGCTTTGCCACGTTTTGGGTTCTCCAAGGGAGTCGTGCTTCCCGCTCACATCGCCTTGCAGCCTCAGCGTGAGCTGGGGCTGCGCGGTTCCAGCCAGCGCCCGGATAAGCGAGAACAATATAAACGCGGGGGAAAGCACCCATTTGTTTGTATGAGCTAAAAGGTTTCCGTGAGAATAGTGTGGATTCCCCGCCACCCGCCCCCACAAAGGCTCCTCAATGCTGAGAAAAGTGAGATTGTACTTTAAAATATTAAATGGTTTTCCAATCAGTGCAGAATCTCAGCTTTCACCTGGGTCTTTTGTATGCGTTTGCTTCTTCCAGCAGGAGATTTGTAATAGAGGAAGCAGGTGTAACATTGTGATTATAAAGATATTGTTGGGGGAAAAAAAATAGGGTGAATTTTCAGTGCTTTGCTCCTCTGAGCCTGCCAGGGCTTCCTTTTCAACTGACTCCATCACCTTTTAGCAAGGTGCTGTGTTTTCGTCCAAGTCAGTCAGTCAATTGTGCATAGAAAAAAAGGTTGCTGGATAAATTTGAAACCTTGATAACACATTCCTCCATTTGTATATATTGTATGGCTTACCAATGTATTCATTCCTTTGGCTTTCAACATTTCACAACTTTCCATAGGTCAGCCTGAGCAACAAGAACAGGTCCCAGTAGATTGAAAGCTTTCTGCTTTCAGACACTCATGTTCACATCACTGCCTGTTGATTTCCTGATTTTTATTTTTTTTTTTTAATTTATTTTATTTTATTTTTAATCAGCCACATCAAATGGGTCTTTGGAGGGCCTGGATAACCAGGAGGGAGGGGTGTGCCAGACAAAAACCATGAAGATCCTCATGAAAGTTGGACAAGGTAAAGACCATCTGCTGTTTCATGAAATCACTTTGATCAGTCTCAATGTGCTTTTAGTTTTCAGGCTTCTTTTAGCAGTGTAGAGAAGAGAGCCAACCGAGTCTAGTGTGGTCATTCCTCCCCTGTAGTCTGAAAGCAAAGCCTATTTTCTCTTCCTCAGCTACTGACAGATTTCTACAGAAGGAGGGTTAGCGTAATAAGATCTCTTTATTGGAGAGATACCTAGAAGGAAAGGTCACCTGGGAGTAGTGTATTTCAGTCATTTTTATTTTTATTTTAAAAACAAAAGCCACAACTCTGCTGCTCAAAATTATTTAAAATACATGAAAGGAGGGAAGCTAATATTTCTATAGTTTGCTTGTTATGAATTCTGATTACAGAGAGGTTTTTGTTCATTGTCTCCTTTCACATATAGATAACCTATTGTGCGGGAAGAAAGAATTATTCTTCTAAGTAGAAGTTGGTTTAGTAGTCAATCAACTTCCTCGGTTAAACTGAAATGTCATCTGCAAAGCTTTTCTTGCCAATTACAGGAGTCCCTATAGTTTCTGCAGATGGCCTCACAATTTAAACCTCTGAAATAACTAATATAACCATTTTGCTTTAGAAGGAAAATTATGTTCTTATATCTCCCGATCCTTTGCATAAAGATTCTTCTGTTCAAAACCATTCGTGTCTCACGAGGTACCTAGAGCCAGCTTACAAGGCTCCGTACCATGGAGCACCGAAGCTGCATGAGTCATCTTTCTCCCCCCCAGATCCCAACTCAGCGGGGCTGCCCCGGCACACGGATCCCACCAAGCGCCCCGAGCAGGAAGCTGGCACCAACGGGAAGAGTTCCACCACCAGCCCCTTTGTGAAGGACCACTCAGGTAGGTGTGGTGGGGCTCACGCCTGGGAGGGGGCTCTGTCGGAGTCTCCTCCTTTGTCCCCAAATGCAAATTATTTTACCATTAAAACAATGCCAGGAAAACAAGTGTTTTCATACTGAGATGAAGCGAAAGCCGGTTCTGATGCTCTGGTGGATAGTGTCTGGGAGCTGCAAGTTTTGGCAACAGCTGCTCTCTCTCCCCTCTTCCACCCTGCAGGAGAAGTTAATTACATCTTGTGAGAATATCACTCATTTACAGGAAAGTTTTTGGATAGGACATTTGCTAAGCAGCTTTACGATGGTAAATGCTGCCTTACATTTAGTAGTCTGGCAGATGAACGAGTCTTTCTGTCTTTCTCTTCCCGTATAATACATTACCAAGTGGTTCTCGACAGCCATTTATAAAGTTTATTTCAAAGCGTCTATAATTAATGTCTTGATCTTTTAACTGACCCTATAAAGTCTACGCATGAATGGCTGGTCTTTCACTGAATTGAAGATTTATTTTTTTTAATAATTATCTAAACAAGATAAACAGATGGTTCCAAACAAATGTCTTCAGGATGCATTTCAGACATCAGGTGAACAAGAAAAATCTAACTCTTAAGGCCCAAGGTCTCTGGAAGAAAATTAGGTGACTTGGGAATGCTACAAAGCAAAAACTTGCTGACAGTTGATTCTGGGGTTCATGAAAATGGCTGTGAGTTTTCCTTGCTAGCTCTGTCATTAGTTACCGGGCTAATGAATCTGGTTTGGTGGTCACTGGGCAGGCCTCGGCCATTTCCTACAGAGGTTCCAGTAGGAAAAGTTCACAGTTATGTGGAGGTAGCATCTGCAGCATTCTTCCACCTGTGAGTGAGCGTCGAGAGGGGAAAGTTGGTACAAATTGTCAAGTGAGCGTTCGTTTAATTTTTGTGACAAATAATATGACAGTGTGATGGCAACAAATATTCAACAGGCTGTTCATCACGTGAGCTTTTCCTGACTACCAAATGCATGGTGTTGTTTTCTTTTAAGTAAATGTGAGTTCATACAGATACTTGCCATAGCCATTTTGCCTGTGTCCTGCACTGCCTCAAGCTCTTTTTTTTCATGTGCAAGGAAGAGGAGTCCATATGAAGAGGCACTAAGTATGGTTTAGCTTAAGTCTATATGCAGAAGATAAAACAGCAGAAGAACGGTTGTCTTGAGAACTGTCAGTTCCCTGTGTTATTTTCCCCTCTCAGTCCTATCCCAGCCCTCTCTGCTGCCCGGGGCTGGCCAGCATCTGTTAAAAGATGCGGCGTGCATCAAAGGCTGCCTTGTCAGTGCCAGTCCTCACCGCTGATGGATGATGATGTATGAAACAGGGTGGTTTGGGAGCAGCACAAAAGTGAGACCAACAGACACAAAGTCTTGTTTAATATTGATTGCTGACTTCGGCTGTTTGCATTTAGCTATCTAACAGGGTAATTGGTTTGTCAAAGTTTAGCTGTCAGTTAATTCTCCCAGTCTTGCTTACTCTACACATTTTTAAGCAGCGTAAATGGGTCGCAGGATGGCAATAACTTTTGTCTGTTGTATTTCCGTTCTTTCCAGGATCTAGCACAGATGGCAGTAAGGCTGGGCATTCCAGTATACTGGGTTCAGAGGTGGCCTTATTTGCAGGGATTGCATCAGGGTGCATCATTTTCATCGTCATCATCATCACTTTGGTGGTTCTTTTGTTGAAGTACCGGAGAAGACACAGGAAGCATTCCCCGCAGCACACGACAACTCTCTCACTTAGTACGTTAGCCACCCCAAAACGCAGTGGCAACAACAATGGTTCTGAGCCCAGTGACATTATCATTCCTCTAAGGACTGCAGACAGTGTCTTTTGCCCCCACTATGAAAAGGTCAGCGGCGACTATGGACATCCGGTGTACATAGTTCAAGAGATGCCTCCTCAGAGTCCAGCAAACATTTATTACAAGGTCTGAGAAACACACAACCAGCTCTGTGGTACAACTGAGTCGTAGAGGAAACTCACTGGTCAAATGCTTTCTGTTGGGGTTTGTGATGACGCCTTGTGCGCTAGCATTGACTCAAGCACAGGGGGAAGAAGGCGACAGCTCTTTCTCCGGGAGCCGACGCGAGCTGGACAGCTTACCTAGTCTGTAGAATTCCTATCTCAGTGAATAAGTATTCACTAAAAGCTGGAAGACTTTTATGTAGAAGATGCCCATTCTGATTGCTGTACTCTTGTTACATTCATCATCCTCAAAGCCATGTGCTGCGGGCGTTCAGGCATGTACAAAAGCCAAGGGAAGATGGAGTGATCTGTGGATGTTAATAGCTCTAGGCATCCTGGGAAGGTGCTCTAGGATATATCAAGCTTGAAATGCAATCTTCTGACTTTTGTGTGTCTCTCTCAGTGTGTACTGGATTTGTCACACAGACCTTAGTGTCTAAGTAAGACTTGTTAAAGTTCTCTTGCGTTTAGTCCGTCACTGTTCCATTTGTTTCTGTTATCCAGGGCTCTGCCATCCTTCACATAAGATTTCCTTTCACTCCACCTCCTGAATCACTAATGGAACATTAATGTTTGGAGATCCGCGCTCCATCCATCTGCTTCAGCAGCCTCACTCGAATGGGTAATGCATTTATAGAAATTGTGTTTGATAGTAAGGAGCCTTCCAGCCAAAAAGTTAGACTGTCAACAAAGTCAAGGGCAGGACTGGGTGGTGGAGGGAAGGGCTGACTGCAGTTGCAATTGAATACTGCTGCCTCAAAAGTAGAAGCTGGGAAGAAAAAAGGAAAAAAAAAATAAAAACAAAACAAAACAAAAAAAAAGAAACCCAAACCAACATTTAGGTAGCACAGCACTTTGGTATGCTAAGTTTTAAGAGGCAAGTAGGAGACACAATAACGCGTGCAGTGGATTAGGGCTGCATTTGAAGGAATTCATGGTTATCAAATACCAGTGTGCAGGAAAAAATAGTACCTTCAATACAGTAGAACAAAGGGGTATTGTTAGTGGGTGAACAAGCTTGGAGAGGACAAGACAATAGCAGGCCGCTGAGGATATATTAGGGCAGGGCTGTTGTGGTACTGGCAATAAAATGTACAGCTTTGAAGCTGTAGCGAAAACGTAGTCTGCTTTGGATGACAATTTTAAGCAGACTCAGCTGCTATACTATCATGTTATATTAAACACAGGGAAAGCATTTAAGAAAATAGCAGAGAGCCAAATCTGACCAAGATGATTATAAGCCAATGGGTCAAATGAGCTGTAATTCTATCACTGGTAAAGTTGTGAAAAAAAAAAAAACAAAACAAAACCCTTTCTCATCGCTAAAAGTAAGGCAGAACTTCTTTCTGACTAAGCCTTTTGACACTTTGGTTTATTGTAGTGCTGTCCCTGCACAGTGAGTGTAGGTACTGTGACTGACACAGCTGTTCATTGGTGCTCTGTTGCAAAGTTAAAGCACATATGGCAAACTTCTTGCAGTCCGTAAGAATAAAGTAAATTATGACACTGAGATGGAGAAGGAAGATATGTCTTATTTATAATAAGTGTATAGAACACAAGGGATATAAAGTGAGAGTTTTTCTTTTGTTCATTCTTTCTTACTTTTTTGTTTTGGTTTTCTTTTTTTACTAATATATATTTTGAGATTGCACAGAATCTACACCAGAAGATGTGAAATTCGTTTGCGGCATTTAAATAGTCTTAACTTGTCATCATTTTACATATATTTATGTGTGTGTATATATGTATATACACACATATATATGTTTATATATGCATATATATATGCACATTTAAAAAAAGAAAAAAGGAAACTGTTTCTGGGAAAAACATCAGCCATCCAAAAATAACAATGGGAGCATATTTAAAAAAAAAAAAAAATCCAAAGCATCTCATAAGAGAAAACTGGGAAATACAAGGCCCAAAATATCAGGAAGTTAATGTTACCATATCACGTATTTAACAATGACAAGGTGTGCCGGCATTTATTTTCTGTGTTGTGTTTTCCCTTGCCTTACGGGCTGGTGTGTTCTGTAGATTTTGTTGAGGTTCATAGAGGGGGGGTTTCAGGTTAAAGTTTTATCTTTAGCATGGCTATTCCCCTAAAGCTCCCACCCTGGGGAGGAAATAAAAAGCTCTACTTTTATATGTGCTATGCAAATAGACATTTCTAACATAGTCATGTTACTATGGTAACACTTCGCTTTCTGATTTGGAAAGAAAATGTAGCAACAGCATTTTGGGGTTCTCAGACCTCTGGTGAGCACCTGCAAAGGAAAAAAAAAAAGAAATCTGTCATAAAAATGATCACTCTCTGTTTCCTGAACCTGAAAATGATGTTGGGATGTTGGTCCAAAAGAGAGAAACAAACAAAAAAAAAAAAAAAAAAAAATCCCAACCCATGGTTCTGTGGAAGGTTACCATGGTGACTAACTACAGTACATATGTAATTCTTTTCAACAACCCTTCCTTTCTGTGAATCCATCCATACAAGGTTCTCTTGTAAGTCATTAAGATTTTATTTTGGGGGAGGGGGAGGAAGGGAAAAGATGGGTTTACTGATACTGATTTTTATTAAATCAAATCTATGCTTCATCAGTTGGCTACATTCTAGTTATGTACTAAACTGTGAAAAAAAAATCAGACTAATTGCTCAAGAGCAACCTGCAACCAACTGAAAAAAAAAAAAAAATAATGTACTGTGCGTCTGTTTTGTGTCTGGTGCAGAATTACGACAATCTACCAACTGTTCCTTTATTTGACGTTGGTCCAGCTTTGAAAAGTTACTGTAAATGCCTTGCTTGTATGATCATCCCTAGTCACCCGACTTGGAATTTGCACCATCATGTCTAAGTGAAGATGCTGTAAATAGGTTCAGATTTACTGTATATGGATTTGGGGTGTTACAGTAGCCTTATTCACCTTTTTAAATAATAAAAAAAACCCACATGAAAACAAGACAAAAATGGCTTTTCTTAACCAGATTGTGTATATAGAGCAATGTTGGTTTTTTATAAAGTCCGAGCAAGATGTTTTGTATAAAATTTGAATTTTGCAATGTATTTAGCTACAGCTTGTTTAAAGGCAGTGTCATTCCCCTTTGCACTGTATTGAGGAAAAAAATGGTATAAAAGGTTGCCAAATTGCCGCATATTTGTGCTGAAATTGTGTACCATGAATATTTATTTAAGAATTTCTTTGTCCAGTTTGTAAGTAACACAGTATTATGCTTGAGTTATAAATAATTTCTTCTTTCTTTTTTTTTTTTTTTTAATTTTTTTTTTGTTTGTTTGTTTTGTTTGTTTGTTTGGTTTGTTCTGTTTTAAAACTAGCCGGTCATAAGTTTGAAATCTGCTTTAGTTCCACATTGCAATTAGTTCCCAGAAAATGAAAATTATGAAAATCACATTCCACGTCTGTTTCAAACTGAATTTGTTCTTAAAAAAATAAAATATTTTTTTCCTATGGAAACCTTGCCTTCTAAGTATTTTCTTCTTTTGCTTTGTAATTTTTTTCTTTTCTAGAAGATGAAAATAAAGCCACCAAGCCTGCCTCCTCTGCCCCTCCCTCCCTTCTTTCCTTTTCTCTCTCCTCTCCCCCATCTCTCCTCGTCTCTCACAAGCCTGATTGCTAGTGGTTTATAAGAAAGCAAGCTCCTTATAATACACTGACTTCTGTTAACCTACTTCTTTCCCAGACTTTTTCTTACATATATTACCAGATTTAAAAAATACATGGAGGTCTTATGCCCTCGGAAATCACTGAGCATCAGTCAGGTGCAGTAGCCAGGTTGCCTGGATGATCTGGGAGGTGAGATTATAACCACAGAAATAATTCCCAGACATTATGGCGTGGATTTATACTGTTGGCAGAGTCAGGGGAAAAAAAAATACCTGAAGCTTCCCGGGTGCTGTTGCTGTCACCACTGCTCCCGAGGAGGGGGAGCAGCAAGCCCGGGGTGGCGGGGCTGAGCAGGAGGGGACAGGAGATGGAAGACATTTGGGAGAATGGTGAAGGATTAGAAATGTTGCAAAGTCAAAACGTCTCTGCGTGATTCTTTCCATGGGGCCATGCATCGTCCTGTCCCTGTTTAACTGAAGTTAAGGGAGATGGGGGCCAACATGTGCAGGTGACACAAGCCTTAGTACAAGATCTGTGGTTGCGTTGCTCTAATTTTCACTAGCATAAAACGATTCTCTAATTTAATAAATAATAGCTTCATTTTTTTTAACAAAACCCAGTCACCCTGAAAATAAAGCACCTTTCAGCTTGTTAGCAGCACATAAATGGCATGATCATCCATGGAGTAACAGGTGGGAGAGTCTACAGAGGGGAAAGATGCATTTGTCACTTTAACAACAGATGCCAATTCGTCATAAAATTTTCACTGAAGAGAGGCAGCTAGTTATTCATAGTATTGGTCACGCAATTCCCATTTGTCAAATTATTTTTTTCTTTTCTGAATAATCAGGGAAGAGATGACTGTATGGCAAAGGCACTATATGTGTTGCAATGGAACAAGTATTTTGAAAACAGACGTACAGAAAGCCCTAGAGACCATGGGACAGTTGGGCTATCATGGCATCTTGCTGATGGAGCCCATTTTATAGGTCCAGTTTACAGAATCTGTGCTGGAAGCTGACCTTAGAGGGAAAGTCACACAGTGGCATTTAGGCTCACCTCTTGAGTCGGCTACAGATGTCCTTGGGAGTTACTTGGACCAGCAGAAGTCAAGCAGCCATGGTGGGACATGTGAGCATCCTCTGACTTCTCAGTAGATCACTTAAGCCTAATCCTGCATTTAGAGCTGTAAGTCACTTGCTGTAAATCACTTCAAAGGAGGTAGTCTTGCGTACTCGGAGTCACACACATGCTTGGCTGGGTTGACACTTCACTCCCTGCTTCACGCTTGCACATGGGGGATTTCACTTGCTCATCTTGGTGGGTTGTTGTGAGGGTCCCCACATCATTAACGACTGTGAGGTGCTCAGGTCTGGTCTATGCTAAAAGCTTGTCTGGTAGAGCCAGCCGTTAGAACTGTGACTATCTTAATTAAGGCTAAGGCTATTGTTTTTATTTTAGGTCTTGGTAAATATTGGAGGATGGTGGTAAGAAAAATAATTTGATAGTGTCAAGTTTACATGGCATTTTCATTTCTGTGCCTCTTTTTTTCCATCTGTGATAAACACTATATAATTATATATATTGTATTTATAACTAACATGTATACTGACACCCACACACACCTATTTTTGTCACTGTTTTAGCAATAAGGGAAAAGCAGCATTGCTATAAACGGTGTCTCCACTGAGAAGGAAAAAAACAGTTGCTGGTGTAACTGTGTATAGTTACACTTGGGGACAAGGATGCTGGGTTAATGGGAGGGCCTTGCACACACACCTTCACAAACAGAACTTCCACTGAGTCTGCTGGACTCATTTCAGTAAATGATATGTGCCTTAGACACTCAATATAAAGTCACTGAGTTATAACCCATCTTTTATAACTTGCAGGGGAAAAAAAAATCATACTTGCATTTTGCACTGCTGCTGACACTGCACTATTAATTATCAAACAAGCACAAAATCAGAATTTACTGCCTTTATTATGAAACTGGTTCCCTGGCAAGAACTAGTCCAAGTCAATAGGCTCCACTAAGTGGAAAATAAAATTATAATTCACAGCTGTTATCCATCTAGAATGGAATAAGGATCTGTTACATAAAATAGTGCCTCACAAAGTAAGCATAACAATGTTACTGCCTAGGTTTAAAACATTATACCTCTTTCTTTGGCCTTTCTCTTTAGCTTTGGTGTGATGCATTGATCAAATGCTCACTCAGTCACCAGCATGCTCGTTTTGATTCTATGGTCACTGTAAATTTTCTTTTTGCAGAAAAGCTTAAAATTGTGTAGTGGTTAGCAAAATAAAGTAAAATGAAAACTCAGTCTTTCTAAGAGACACTTTCCATCTTCATAGCCACAACAGAAATTTTGGTAGGGTTTAAAAGCCTAGGGCTTAAAAACACAAAAAATACTCATATGGTTGGCATGTCATTACATGAAGCATCAGATCAGAAATTAAGTAACATTTGTTTTGGGAAAAGATGAGTGTTGGAGGATATATCATAGTGTATTCATGATTGTGCCATTCATAATCCAAATGGTGCTGAATTCATCTGACTGAGCTATCATCTATGAAATAAAATAATATCTGTCTTTCCCATGACTCACGGAAATACTTTGATGCTTAATTAAGGCATAATGCAACCCATAGGAGTCACCCTACAGATAAAATCACGGGGCTGATGGTGGAACTGGAGTTCCTATTGGAAGCAGCTTGCAGATGATATCCTTGCCTGTGCCTGGATCTGCCAATGATGGGCGAGGTGCTAGCAAACAGGCTGGCGACTCTTGTGAAACAGGAGAAAGAGCCTGCCTGTGCACAGTGAGGATGAGGAAGGGGAGCTGTATGTAGGTGGCTGTTCCTGGAGAAAGGCACGTGGACCAGAGAGAGGAGGCGAGGAGAGGGAAGGTGTGTGAGAGGGCAGTGGCTTCCTGAGGAGGAGGCTTGCGGACATCTCTAGTGACAAAATCCTGGGAAGAAATGAGACCAAGGTCCAGGTGTGGAGGTAGTTAGAGAGACAGGGTCTTTACAGCTCTGGTAAAAGGTTCGGTGGAAAACAGAATTAAAATGTTAACAGATAAAGGACAAATAAGCATGGTATTTGATAAGTATTGACTGTTGTTTCAGGCAGGTGAGGAGATCAAGCCAGGCTGTTCTGTGAGGCACTGAGAGGAGAAAGAGCCTACATGGGACAGAGAACTGAGACCAAAATTCAGTGTTTCCTGCAAGCTGGGGTCGTGTGAAAAAGAGATCAAAGGTCTGCAATAATTTAATAACTGTAGGACTATTAAAAGTTTAAACATCAGAGCTGTTGTTATGCATACCTGTAATAACCAGTGGAATAGGACTTGTGTTTTCATAAGTGCATTGACAGAGCCTCATGCGCTTAGGCTGCTAAAGAAGTTCAGTTAATTTAATAACATGGAGAATCCTTTGAGGGTGGGAGAATGGTTGCTTCTGGATCAGACCTTCAGTGGATATAAATTAGCATAGTTCAGTTTGATATCTGATCCTACTTACCACAGTTCAGAATTGCACGTGCATAAGCAGTACTCATACAGATTTTATTATACCTCTTAGCTATGAGAAAGTGCTTTGTAAGACTGTTATCCTGAATATTATGAAGTCTGTACTCAAAAACATACCAACAATGACATGCTTTTATAAGAGACTGCTATTAAATGACATAAAAATTGTAATTTGTATTTTATTGAACATCTTCAGCAATTTGCTGTATCTGTTCATTAAAAGTAGGTTGGATTACTAGTAAATGTATAATAAAAATTGTTCACATTTTAATGTGTCTTTTTGTCCTCTCTTGTAATATTTAAACTCATTTCTTCCTACTCCTGGATTTAATTCTATTCCATAGGCATAACTGACAGGTCAGCTGTCTGCTGTTATTACATTATCTGTTCATCCTCACACGCCACATTCCCAGTGTTTCCAAATCTCATCATTCAATCAAAATACCAAATTCTGGCTTTCTTTAAACTCATCTGTTGGAAGTATATGGTCACATGAACAATTTAGCAATTATACAGAAGCAGTAGCATTTTAGCCTTCATCACTGTGAGGAATACTGAGGCCAGAAGGCAGAAGAAGGTGCAAAAAAACTGTGTGTCACACTGAAAAAACTCAAGATCTGGGGAAAACCAAATGATGATGTGAAAGTTAAAAATAGTTGCATGTGCTGCCTTTGCTTCACACTTTTTCCTTCATTACGTGCTATGTTTTCTTTTTGTACATAACCAACAAAGCACATGTGAATTTCCCAGTCCTCAAAACAGTGTTCAAGCTGGAGAGATTCATATTTCTGGGTCTGGAGGCCTTCTCTCGAATTTTCACTATTGAGAAAATGATGGCTGCTTTCCTTCAGCTTGTTTATCACATACCCTGATACCATGCACTGATGACCTGCTCAGTACACCAGCCCTGTCAGTCCCAAAACCCTTTCTGGGACTTTGTATCTTCCCAGATAAGGTTTCACTTCTAGACAAAGCTTTCGTTGCTCACTGTGAAAATTTATTTTCAGATGTTGCCCTAGGATTTCCTCCTTTTATATGACTCGCTCTGGATTTCAGTTGGTGATGACTCTTTCACAAAAAAAATTCTTCTGATGAAACACATGAGCAGTCCTTGTACCAAGAGTGTATTTTCTTCTAAGCCCTTTATTTTCCAATCAGATTTAGTTTGCATTTTTATGTGGCTTTATCTCTTCCTTTTGTATTAATTCAATTGCATCTGAAGGAAAATAGCATGCAGTAAAATTCCTAAATACAATTTGAATATAGCTCATTTCAATCCAGTTGGTTTTACATCTCCATTCATCAATACATTA